TTGGTCGATTTTGAAGATGTGAAGATTGGGGAGAGATACACAAAAAAGGCGGTTCGTATAAATAGGTGATTGGCTCCACGTCACCGGCTGTCACCCATGTCCAATTTTTATCAAAGTTGAAGAGACAAAGCACAATGAAGCGAAAGGAGACAACGCCATAAGTTGTCCACAGATAACAGGATAACAAGACATCAAGTCCAGCTACCGTTTCTACTCCAGACCAAAGTGACAGGGGTAAAAGCTGCAGAATGCCATATTAAATGCTTTGTAAATGTCACACAGTGGGATCAAATCTGTACTGATGGGCGGCGTAAAGGACAGCAGCATAGGAAGCCAAAATACTGCATCCAAATACGACTGAAAGAAATGGGAGTTTTAAAGATCAAAAATGAATGAAACATGAATTATTAAAGAGTTAGAATTGTTATAATTGATTTCCCCAATTTAGTCAGCCCTGCACAAATAACTCTGAAAAACAAAATGTTCCAAATGAAAGACTATAGTGAGCCGAAACACAAATATGAACTTACCAGATAAGCATCAATGGATATGTTTACGCGCGTGCCAAAATTGGATAAAAATCTGATATCTGGAGTTATCCGATCAGATTATTGAAATGCACAGTGACATGTCATTTGTGTAATCTGATTTCAGGTTGGGTTTCACACAAAAAGAAGAGAATTATGCAATAAAGGCAAATTTATATAACATGTGAGATTGTCCGGCCATAAACATTTAAAAGTAACTATACTGGGGGAAAAATTACTGCTTTAAAAGATGCACTGCGTAACATTTCTAGTGGAGAGTGCATGACCATGGAAATGTTATTGCTTTGCCTAGAATACAGCACTACACAACATTACAATTCAGATCTGTGGAGAGTCGCCCCTATTCACAGAAGGAATTATTTCATTTTTGAGCAATAGAAACACCAAGCATCATTGAGACAGAGGAAAACAAACACCATAGCTGGATTAAAGAGGCAATCGAAAACGTGCCCACGGGATTATAAACCGGGACGAGGGGGCTTTTTTACTCTCACACACCTGGGATACTGTCCTGAGAAAGTTGCCCTGCAAATGGACCCTCCGCCGGTAGGAAGACAGCGCCAAAACCTGTATAAATCATCTGACTGGACACATCACAGCAACATCACGTGACCACTCTGAGGAAAACCTTTAATGAGCAGTCAAAACTGTCAGATATGAAAACAAACACTTGGTCTGAAAAAAGATCCTAATAACATAAATTATCGGAAGCCCAAATGAACCTCATTGGACTAATAGAAACACCCGTAATGAATAAATGTTAGATGTATATATTTAAAGTCGTACCATGGAACATTCCAAGCAAAGCAATAACATCTCCATCGGAACAAGTAGTTAACGGACTCTCCACCAGAAAAGTTGCATAGTGCACCTTTAAGATTAAATATAAACATTAAACATAATTTATTCCCTATAAATTGTATAAAATGAAATTATGAAAATCTAAATTCTTTGTGTCTCCCCAGAATCTACAGGAAACAATGTATAAACATATTCATGTACTTTAAATATTCAAGAATCTAAAATAATGTATTCTGTCTGCAAAGTTGGAGGTCAGTCAAGGTGACATTATTAGAATATAATAAAAGGATTTAATCTCTCTTTCTACACCGTATGCCTTCCCTCACAGTGACAATGCTGCTGCTGATAAGGAGCAGTGTGGCGGGTGGCACTGACAGCTTTCAGATGTCCACAGGGAAACAGAACCCAGACTTCTGTGATCACTCTTTGGAGGTCTGCCTGACTTTATCATCCTGCCAGAAGAGGGGCTTTGGGGGAAGAAGAGGGGGAAGAGAAGGAGGAAGCTGGTCCCTGTGCTGCCTGGTGAGATGTAGGTCTGTCACTATATCAAATTATTGTTCGATACATGAAAGATGGAACCATAATTTTGGGGGTGAATATTTATCATGGGGGCTTTTTCTTTGTACTAATGGGAAATGTTGGTTATTTTTCAATACAACGATGAGATTTGAGCTGTAGAGGGTTGAATTATTGTTGTTTTTGGAGAATAATTCTGCTTTATTGGTTCAATATTATCGTTTATCATCTATATTTAATTAAGCATTGTATTGTACTTCAAAATGTGTTATCTAAACAGGTGTAGTGAGATGGTTAGATCAGCAGAGCAGCATTAACCAATTAAGGAAGGAATGTGAAGGTGAGCTAATAAATGTAAATCTATTTTTTAGTAGTTACTAGTTTGTATCACAGCAAGCACATTTTTTTGTTGAGGAAGTAACAACATGTGACAGAGTACAAGGAAGACGGAACCACCAGCATGTCTGATGAATTTTGAAACCAGAACAGAGTTATTCCAAAGTTACATTTGAAAGGAATCGAGCAAGAGGAGTGAGGGGTTTGACAGGGATCAATAGTGATGCTTTGCAGACGACTTTAACCTTTGAACTTTTCAAACTTTAAATGGGGATTTCCCTGCAAACAGTCACAATACTTATCTAGCCTCAGCTGAAGAAAACCTGACACTACTAGGCAGGGTCAAGCTTAAGACATCAAAGAAAATCTACAATACATACTACCACAATCCCACCACCCAATGCAAAATGATTTAGGAAACTTTAAAGGTCCTATATTACACAAAATAGACTCTTGTGAGATATAAGCCAGGTTAGAATGCTGTTACCTCTAGCTTTGTTGTGTTTTGTTTCAGTCACACTTGTTTGAGTAATCCTTTATTATTAGTCTGTTTACATCATCAAAGCTCAAAATGCTCTGCTCCACCTTGTGATGTCATGTAGTGGTAGTTTTCAAGTTCAGTTCCAGCTGTCTTTTAAGCTGCAGGGCTGAAATAATCAAAATGATTCTAGTGAAGGCGTATGGAGTATAAAAACACAGTGGAGCACTTCCTTTATTCCCAGATGACATCATAAGGTGGAACAGAGAGTTTTCCTTTTGAGAGAGGACGAACCAGCCTAAATGTGCAGATTGTTTCATTCACACATGTTTCACACACCAAACAAAACTCTGGATATATTTTTGATGAAGAAACAACATTATAGATCAGTAAATAGCGTAACATAGGCCCTTTAAAGACACTGATCTATAGTGTAAATAAAAAAGAAGCTTAGGCCTACTACCAAATATGCAACAATGCCTGAGTGAAAATGCATTTGTTTTGGTTTGTCAGGTCTTAAACAGACCTAGATTATGCAGCGTTAATGTCACGTCAGGGAGGCGTGGTGCATCAAATACTCATGAATATCTATTTATGTGCAAAGGGAGCTTGAACTGTGGCCTTCATTGATTGTTTTGGTTCAGTGTTACCATACAATAGACAGGGGAGACTGACGCCTCAAGCTCTCGTGGCTTAACTCGATTGCATACAGGTAGCTTTGTGATAGTCATGGTCAGGTAAATTTCTATGAAGCGCGTGAGAAAACAATGACATCAAAAGGCTTTAGACATATTAGATAACCATGAAGTTAGTACTATTTGACCCGTAGTAGAGACTGATGCAAAGTGTGTCAAACTATCAGTAGAAAATAAAGCAGTTCCAAACATATGCTTCATTGTAAGTCCAATTGGTTATGACTTTTTAAGAGATTTTTTTGTGCAGCCATTGAGCTGTTTAGTTAGGAGTTGACAGATTCATTACTCAGGTCTGTCAGACGCAAGGATAACGTGAGAAACGCGATGTCAATATGAACACTTACAGACTGCAGGAAAAGCAAAGTCCGGACGTAATCCCTCTCGGTGTTGATGATTTCGTTCAAAACGCAGAGCCGGAGCCGCTGCTGTCGGTCCGAATCTTTAGCGGCGTGGATACCGTTCTCCAGATGCCCGTCCTGTTCTTCTTCCATGGTGGTCACTCCAATCTCCCACGAGCACCTTAAGACTTGTTTAAACGAAAAAATATCCACACTTCGAAAGCTTCAGTCCATTTTACCTCTCCAAGACTCTCCACGCGAGCCCGGTGATGCGCAATGCACCACTCCAAAAGTTGAGTAAAAGTATGAAACAACAAGCGCAGAGCGGAGCCAGGCTGCGTGCTCTCCACACCAGCTGAGAGAGAGTGAGACTGAGCGTAGAGAAGAGGGCAGGAGGAGGAGGGACCCATCCATCAGCAGGGAGGCACAAGGACCGCCACCGTGCTCCTCTGATGTGAGCGCATTATGTCATAGGAGGCACTGTCACCAGATCTGTGCGCTCACGTGGGGCTTTTAGGGGCAAAGACCTAGAGACGGAGAGGGATATAAACAAGAGATGATATTTAAAAGTAAAACATTGAAAAACATTTTCACTCTAAACTGAATAAGGTGTTGCATTTCTTGTTGGCCTAATTGAAGTTTAGAAAAATAGGCTTAAGAAAAACTCTAATCATTTAACAAAACTTAAAAAAAAAAATATGTAAAATAAATAAATATAAAATACAAATAAATAAATAAAATAAATCCCACAGCTGCATGTTTTGTTTTGTTTTTAGCCATTGTCCTACTTCTAAACACGTGAACACCAAGTTACAGTAGTCTGTATGTATATTTAGTATGATTTTTTTAAGACTGTACTCACCTTTTCACAAACTATTTCAGTCTGAATCATTTAATTTTATGCGCGACGAACCTGGAAAAAGTAGAGCACGTCCATGATCATGTGTTCTTCTGCTTTGTGAGAGTCGCCCCCTGCTGGAAGCAACAAGTGCTACAGTTTGAAATTGACCAACTGTTGTTTTTGCAAAATTGTCTTTGACTCATCTTATTTTTGAATGATTTGCCTGTGAAGTTTAATTACCACATGCTTAAAAGTGGTTGTCACATGTGAGTAAGATGGTTTAAATGAGTTATCTTCACAAAACAAATAGGCTGCACACACACAGGATATATCAATAAATAATGTTAGAATTATTCTAATTTAATTAGTAAGACAAGCTAATTATCTCATATCAGATCAAAGCCTAATGCACACTGATCATGTTAGGAAATTGACAATGACAGAGTATAAAATTTCAATAATAGTTTTAATCGATGCATGTTACATTCAAAACCATGGTGATCTTCCTGCACACATAACAGCATACATACAAGGTTTCTTGCCATTTTGGAGGAATGCAACAACTGTTAAATGCCTTACATCATCATATATTTACATATTATCCTCCACGTATGTACATGGCAAATCCTTAAATATGATCAAACATGAATGGAGTAACATAAGATACAATGTATGACTGATTGTATGTAGTTCTTTAAGCATATTTTATGTACTTTCCTTCCAAAAAGGCATGTGCATAAAGCACAGTCATAAAAAGTGAGTCACACAATTAGACATGATAGGTTAAAAACTCGACAATGCCTCTTCATTTATAGTTCATAAGATAAAACTCTTCCTTCAGCAGGGTTTAAGTACAAAAAGACAAGTAAAGTAACCAAAGGGAATAGAAAATAAAATGTGCTCAGTGCATTAAGACTTTTCCAATATAACAAAGAAACTAGAAGTGCCCTGTTCCATTGCTGTGGTAAATACGTTCACATTGTTACAGGCAGACAGTGGGCTTGAATCAGGAGTACAGTGAGTAAACGCAAGTGAAGCAGTGACTAAAGCATCACATAAAAGGCAAAATGTACTGTAGTGTTTGAACTGAACCTAACTCATAGATAAATCCAACCCTCGGGCCAAAATACAACCCTTTAGTTTAGTATGATGCAGTTTGTATTGGTTGAGTGTTTTAGTTATAATGTGCTATGAATTTATTTAGATATTTTCAGAAACTTTTTTTACTGAACCAGCTGTTACTATATGCAAAATATCTTCATAGCAAATAAATTATATAAAAAAAAAAGAATTGTAAATGCTAAACACGAGCCATGAGTCACAGCATCTCATTGCAACATGTAGTGTGAAATGCAGGCAGAATCCTACACTGTTGTGGTACTTTTACCACATTTACTTTCATAATCTATGGTACTGTGGTGTAGATGGGACGAGATGGTGACACTCAGACAGGCACAGAAACAGTGTTGGAGCCATACTGACAATACAATAATAAAAGAACACAAATATAAAGCAGCAATTCTATTAGTTGCTCAGTGCTGCGACTATGGCCTAATGTGTTCATACTAGGAAGACTTTAGCTGGAGACTGAAATGTTCCGTAATAGCATTAAACTGTCCGGTACTTGTTGGTAAATTTGAAAAAGCCCACGCATTTGACAATGTATTTAACCATAGACTCACTTTACTAGATCTAGATTTGGACGTTACTAAAACTTGAATTACAAGGGCAAACTGTTCCGAAGGCCAACAATGGAACTATTGCAGTTGAAGACAAGCCAAACTCTTTTAGAGCAAAAATCTAATAAGCACAATGTCAATGTTATAGTTCAGCCATTCAAATCTTCAATCCTCGGCTGCAACATACAAATGTAGCTTTTCTCCACCTTGGCATTTTTGACATTTTGCTTTCGTAGTCAAAGGCAGACAGTGTTGATATATGTATTCATATAAATAACAAAATAGTACAATATAAATATAAAGATTCTTGTGTGTGAGATGGGATGTGCGTTTGGAAAATGATGTGTGGGAAGATGTGTGTTGTGTGCGTTTGTTTGCCAGTGTCAAGACAGGGCAGGCGGGTGGAGTTATAGATGAGGCCGTCCATCTCCAACCTCATAGAACAGTGAGGTGTAGAACTCGGGCTCTAGCTGCTTGTTGCGGTAACGCTGGACAATCTCTGTAATCTTCTGCTTACGTCTCACATGAGGAGGGTTGTACAAGTCACTTTCCAAGCGCTTCCGCCGACACACGTTAATGACTGTCTGACGAACAAGAAAACCTGCAGAAACACAGTAAATATTAAGTGTGCCATACAATATATTGGTAAGATATTATAGACCTGTGTGTATTTGTAATGTGTGTTTGTTTTTTTCTCCATCTAAGTTCTCTGTTTGTAAAGAGACACTATAATGAATGTACTTAAGTGTATGGTGTAAGTAATGACAAATATCATGTAGATATAATACTCTTTTTTGAACACCTTTTTTTCTTTCTTTTCATTAGATGTGCATGTTTTGGGTGTCTTTCCAAGTGTGCAGACAATGTGCTTTGCTTTCTTAAATTTTATAATGTTCAAAATAAAGTAACTAGCTTTTACAAGTAAAAATTACAACATAATACATGACATAAATGTAATCTCTTTTATAAATGAAATACATTGTTGTTATTATATTATTATTTCTCAAATACTTAAAATCACAGTACAGCAGGAAACAAATTGCTCGTACCTAAAGCGCGACGACTGACCACCATGCCGTCTACCAGGGGAATGACCATGCCAAATTTGCCCACAGCCCCGTGCAGCCTGATCCTGAAGAGCCCAGTCTTGAGGGGGTGGATGAAAATCAGCGGAACGTCCTTCTCTAATAAACCTGACCTGCACCAGACAAACATGACACAGAGGGAGATATTCAGTAACAAGGGCATATCTGTGTATAGCTATACAGTCTATGCTACCAACCAATTACATATAGATATAAAAGATCATTTTAGTTTGATAGTGAGGAAATGCTAAGAATTCAGTCAAGCTCAGACAAACAAAAGATGCTTTATAATGAGTCAGGAAAAGGGGAATGCAAAAATGTGCAAAGCCTTGTATTTTGCAGTAAACACCGTGCGCTGTCATATTTTCTGCACGTGTTGCTAGGCTTCCTGTTTTGCTTTGCAGCTGGTTTGCTTTTGCAGTGTTCTACATGTATTCTTTATAAACCACTTGTTTCATACCTGCAGGAAGTGCTGTTGCTCATGCTGGCCTCCAAACCCGTACTGGTTTCCGCCAAAAGATCAGTCAGCGGGAAGTTTTCTAAACAAAACAAATAGTTTAAAATACAGTTTAAAGGCCTTAAGGAAGCCCACACACAATCATTACTACATATGTGCTTACCAATGTCATCAAAGCGTTCCACCCACACCACAAAAACCTTTGTTTCAGGTCCCAAAGCTGGGAATGATTTTCCAGTTGATGACCTTTTTGTTTTGACCAGAGGGCTTAGCTGCAAAGACAGTCCACACTCATGTATTTGAGCTGACAGAATACACAAAAGAAAGACTGATAACACAAGAGTTCAAGTTACCTTTTTAACAGATTCAAGGTTTTCTGAATGGTTAGGGAAGAGCTCCAGTGTGAGATTGGGTTGCTTCGGTAAACCATGCATTATATCGGAGTTAGTGTCTGCTTCCACTGTGGAGTCACTGTGTACAGATGACTCCTCTGTGTAGAGAAGGATCAGCTTTTTATCAAACAGCTTAGGCTTATTTAATATCAACATAGATTTAATTGACTAACCAGAATGTTCATTAAAAGATGGGACCACAAAGGCGATTTCTGTCAGAGCATCAGCATAGTAGAGAACTTTTTTCTCTCCATTGAACACTGAACCTCCAGTGTCTTCAGGGGGGGTGGAGTCTTCTGATGAAAACACATATTTATTAACACATTTTATTTTTAGTGCAATGGTCAAGACACAGCCATTTCCTGTTACCTGTTGGCTGCACATCATTGCCATCTAAACACGAGTTGAGAGACCAGCTAGTGTCCAAATGTCCAGTCCACCCCGGATGGTGTCCTACGTCCACAGGCCAGCCCAAGGACAGTAAGAACTCCAAAAAGTGGGGCTGGACACTTGCAGATGATTCCACATTTTTAAGAATCTAAAAAAAAGCAAGATAATGTGTTCGGGTTTATCTTGATAAAACAAAAATAATCATCTTATGTTGTCTTCGTGGTGTCATCCTACCTCATGGCTGCTTTTCTGTCCAGCTCTCACATAAAAAATAAACACAGTGTCAAAAGGTCGACACGGCAGCAGGTCCAGGTAACTGATGTCCTCGAAAAACCCTGATAATGAGGAGTCCAGGCCAATCAGGTGAGGAGGTAGACGACTGTTGTTTGGCTCCTATGGAAACCAGATACGTTTTGTGACAACTAGCAATGACAAAGGTATCGATTAAAGGGCCCGTCATACTAGTAGATCAGAAAATACTTATTTATAATGCTGTTTCCTGACAAATGTATCTGGAGTTGTGTTTTGTTTCATTCACAGATGTTTAACGCACTTCTCTCAAATGAAAAATGCTCTGTTCCACCTTGTGATGTAATGTAGTAATACAGGAAGTGTGTTTTTAAACTCCATACACCTTCAATAGAATCTTTTGGATCATTTCAGCTTCAGCCCTGAAATTGCCAATCTCTACTGATAAAAAGGTAAAAGGAAGCTGTTAACATGAAAACTTCTTCTTGACATCACAAGGTGGAGATGTAGACAAAACTAATAATAAAGGATTACTCAAACGTGTGAATCAAACAAAACACAACTCCAGGTATGCTTTTTATGAGGTAGCAACATTATAAAATGGATTCATCCAGAGTCAATTTTATGTAATATAGGGCATTTAAGAGTATAACAAAGCCTTGGTTAAAGTGACCTTCAGCGCTTCCAGAGACAGAAAGCCGAAATGGGAGAGAAAGAGGCGTGCCGTCTGGAACTCCTGCGCAGGCGGAGGGGGTTTGCAGTCCGTCTGAGGGTCTGGGAAAGGCTTGCACTTCCACACGTCCTCGCTGTGGCGCTCCAAGGCATGTTCATATTCTATCTGCTTGGTCATCACGATACGCAGTTTATCGAGCTGAACCTCAAGCTAAGTGACAAAAGGGGAGATTATTAAAGGCAGTAGTGGAAACGCTGAATTGTTACTTTGCAGTGATGTCACGCTAGGGGTGTTTTACATGTATCTCTATGGTGGAATATTCAGTAGTTACTGTAGAGACACAATGCGCACATTAGCACACTGTCAAAAAGTTTGTCTGAAAACTCAAGAAAAAATGCAAAATGGATTTAAACAACTAATTTTCAGGAGCCTGTGATCACTATGATTGTTCAAGGTCCTTTTTATTAGATCTCTGATTTTCAACAAAAACATGAGACTAACTGAAAAACTATAGACTAACGCTAGCAATTTTGTGACTGTAATTTGAGATTTTTATTTATGAGCACATTTTCTTTCACCTATTGTAGTTTCAATTAAGTCTCTTCTGGCTCATATTGTGTTAAAACAAAGCTCAGATTAAAGTCTTGAGTCTTATAAACTTGAGTAACAGAGAGCTTCTAACAGAGTAGTGCCTTCAGTTAGCATCACACCCCCAGAGAATGTTGATCATCAGCTACAAAGTATCAATACAAAAAGATATTTCCCATACAGAAATATACTGGGAAATTAATGAAATTATTATTTAAATTATTTTCTAAAACATACACTCAGCTGCCACATTATAAGATACAACTGTGGTGTGCCCGGATTTTGTTTTGTCCTTGTTTTTTCCAAGAGCACCCTCTACTTGTTTTCACACATGCAGCAAAAACAAACAGCCATATTTTTGTTTTTCTAAGCCACAATTGTGTTTAAGACTTAAATATCTTATATATCTGTGGTCAGGAATGCAAACAGGTTTAAAACAATCCTGCTGAAGATTAAGTACAGGGATTTTCCCCCAAGCCTAAAGGTAAACACAATCCCACATCATTAAAACAACAACACTAATCTTAATGCGCTATACCTGACTTTTCCTTCTGAAACTGTACTTTCTTGTCTACATTGTGTTACATCTAAGTGAATTTGTTTATAACGTAAACATTTAGATAATCAAATATTAACAGAACATATAATACTTCCTCTGTTGCAGGTGAGTGTAGTTCATGTCAAATCAAGAGCAACCCATCACAGCAGCAATCCCTAGTGTACAGTGTCTTAAATCAACAACTTTTTTAAGTTCTTTTATTTATGTATTTACAGATAGGATTCAGTTCAATTGTAACTGAAAAAATGCAGCTGTGTTGGATTAAAAACATTGAGAACACTGTATGTTTGTTTTTAACCAGGTCAATTCCCCTACACCAAAAAAACCTTCCCAACTCCAGTGACTCACGTGTGGGCAACTGTTCAGCAGATATTTTGTATCATCTTGCCAGCCCAAACAACACACCTATATTTGTTTAATAACACAAAGATTATTCCTAATGTACTTTCATTGAAAACGGGCCAAACTGATAATGCTCACCTCTTTACTGACGATATCATCCAAATCAGGAATACTGACATCAGCTTTGACCAGAGGGATCTTATCCACCTCTTCAGGAAATGGCCTCTGTTTGACATTGTACTTAATGCCCACATCATTGTTGGGGGTTGGACGACCCTCTGGAACAAACGCCTGCTGCGAAAGATGTCATATGATGGAAATTAAAAGAAAAAAGTACTAATGGGGCATAAATCAACATACATTTGTATTCATGTATATCAAAATACACACGCATATATAAATAGATGGAGAAAAAAATGCTGTTGTTATTATTATTATTATTCTAAGAGAAAAATAATAGACTAAAATAAAGGACTAAGGCAAGATTAAACTAGGTCTCTGTCAGCCTATTTGGCTTATAGTGATCAGAATGAGCAGCAGACTATAGATATTCAGTATACAAATGCTGTTGCTTTCTATCAAATTGAATGCAGGAAGTATCATCTCACCCTCTGATTGGCCCGTGCCCCTCTAGGCTGATGGAAAAGCTGCATGGTCCAGGCATGTCGACCAGCAGTGCCTCGAATCAACACAGTCACTGAAGGGCTAGGATCTGTCAAGAAACAAATTAAGCATTAAACAATATATACAATATATTGTATATACCATATACAAAACATATTGATTAGAAATGACTGACTCTGCTCATTCCCAAGAGGTTGCTCCAGCGTGGCCAGGATCACAGAGTTGTCCAGGACAAAGTAGCGGAAGTTGCTGGCTCCAGTGGCACTTAGTCTGGCATAACGAATGAGAGTTTCTTCATTTAACAGGCTGCAGGTGGAGGCAGGCCCACTGGGAGAGGGGAAGGCCCCCAACACCTGCATGATACTGGATGGACAAGATGAAAAATTGTATGTTTTGACTGATTGATTGTTATAGGGTCAAAAAAGCAAATACCAGATAAGCAGATAAGATACCACTTTTGACACATCTTTAAGTTCAGTCTTACCAGGATAATGTGGCTTCAGCAGCATCTTTCACTCTCATTGAGGCTGGGTTGTGTTCCTTATCCCCTTTATGTCTAACTTCATTTTCCTGTCGGGATTTGCTGCCAGAGATGCCAAGCTCCACAATATCCAACACTTCCATCAAACAGTCCTACAAGAAGAAAATATTGTCAGTTGACTTAGAAATGCCAATCTTCACCCCAAGGATCAAGGGGCTATGCTGTGATGTGCACCTTCTCATCCAACATGTCCGGATGTTCTGTGAGCCACACACACAGGAACTGGAAGGCAGCGACAATCATGGAGTGAAGGTCTCTGGACTGAAGAGGAGCAGGACGGCTACATTGATAGACAATATATGTGCATATGGAGCTGATGGCTCGTTTCCGGTCTGCAGAGTCAACTCCCACCTTCACCTGAGAAAAACAGAAAGCACAGTGGAAAATCTTGTTTTCATGTGATTGTGCAAGGAGAATAAATAGCACATAAACAACAATCTTCAATTAATTAATCTTAATAACAAAAGGTATGTTGTATTGTTGAGAAAGCAGATACTTTGAACACTGATTTTCTGTACCTTGGCGAGCCCGGCCAGCAGTTCCAGAGCTGCGAGTGAAATGCTCATGTCTTGCTTCCACTGAGAGTTTAGTCTCTGGGTGACGAGGTGGATACTGCGTACCAGCAGGCCTGCTGCCGTATCTGCAAGAGCTAGATCATATAACACCCCGAAATACCAAACACCGCAGAGAAAAGAGCAAAGCAAGACAAAAAGCAACAACCCTGCCATATTAGAGCTTCTCAGAGCTTCAAACAAGACGCAAACCAATCAGCAAATTCAGACAAATTTATCACAAGCATTAGCAAACCCATTTAGCACAACTTTCAAAGAGTTACACTACAAGTTTTAGAACACCACTCTTTTTCAATTTTTTTACTGTTTTACTTTTTACTGTTGACCAAAATGTATTCTAAACTTTTGATTCATGAAAGTAGCCACTTTTGGCAGATATAAGAGCTGTACACACAAAGTTATTTCCAAGTCTGTTGCAGATGTTCCCATAAATATGTGGCACTTGTAGATTGCTTGGTGTTTACATCCCAAAACCAGCTCAATGGGGTTTAAGTCTGGAGACTGTGCTGGATTCTCCATGTTTTCAAGTTTGCCCTCTTGTTCTTTTATCCTGAGGTAGTTTTGGCAGAGCTTGGGCTTGTGTTTTTTTTCTTTTTTTTTTACCTTTGGCTGTTCACTTCTTACATTTGTACCATTTCAAGCTATTCATTGGACTTGCACAAGTGGAATTGCAATATATAATTGGAAAAATTAGGGTGTTCTAAAACTTTTGACCAGTAGTGTAAGAAAGGAATGAAGTAGATTCTCGTAAAAGTAAATCACCACAGCAAAATAATTTGTCATCACCTACAAAGACATTTTACCCAGCGTTTCTTAGCTCGATACATCACTCTAACCACGTTAGCTACAAAGAGCACAGCTGTTATTTATCCTTTTATTGTTATTTTCCATAATGCAGCTGCACTGTGTAAAACATGTCAACCAGCAGTATAATATGATATGACTCTTACCATAGTCACGGAGTAAAGCTTGTGCTGGCCGCTCAGTGTCGGGGCTGGTTGCCTCAGTGCTGCCACCACTGTTATAACTGATGCCACTGTTGGTGCGGCTGTGGCTCTGGCTTCTTACAGTCGCATGGCTGCCATCTATGCTCCCCTGTCAACACACATTTGTTACATCACTATTTGGGTTCAAACATACAACATGCAATTACTGAAGCTCAATTATTTCTCATATTTATTCATAATAAGTTGTAAACGTCACACATACTGTTTCAGTCTGTGCACCAATAGACTCCAGTAAAGCTGAGTCCTGGACAATATTCAGCATTGCACCTGTAAAAGAAGGAAATTCAAATAAACAAAAACAAGTCCGACTGACATACGTGCAGTGAGCAGCAGGTGTTACTTACCCAGGATGAGCTGTGTGTTGGTGGGGTCAGTCTCTGTCTGCAGGGCCCCTATGAGGACGTTGACTAGACGGAGCCGTAAGGATAGAAAAGACACTGGCTGGTCATGAGGCCACACATCCTCCTCATTGAACTTTCCCTCCAGTAGAACCTGAAGCACAACACAATGTCATGTTTGGACTGATTTTTTCAATTTAAAATGTGCACTATGTAACTTTCCGCTACTATAAGATGTTAGTGCTTTGCCTGGAATGTTCCTCACTATGGCATTAAATGTAATCACCTTGCATTTAATCAGTTACAGGTGTATTGAGAAGAAAGATGAGAGAAAGATGCCTTGAAAAACATATATTCTTACTTATATATATTATATATATATATATATATATATATATATATATATATATATATATATATATATATATATATATATATATATTATATAATATAATATATATATATATATATATATATATATATATACATATACACATATACACACACACACACACATATATATATATATATACATACATATATATATATATATATATATATATATACATATATATACATATATATATATATATATATATATATATATATATATATATATATATATATATATATATATATATATATTCTTACTTAATTAAATGGAGTCACTGCTTCACAGATCTGACTCGTAACTTGCCCTAATGGCGTCACTTATTTGTTACCATGGCAAAAGATATGTTTAATGTCATTAATGTTTAATGTCCAATGTTTAAACTTTTGACGAGCGACAAAATATTATGTAGTTAAATAATTAATCTATTATTATTTTTGATTAAACAATTAGTTGTATCAATATCTAAAAAAAATCTAAATAAGAGATGTTTACAGAATTATACCAAGATGAAGCAACAGTGATGCCTCTTGAGGACATCCTGATGGAGCAACATGTTTCAGCCCTAATTACAAGGTTTACTATAATCAAACAAAATGTCATTGTCATGCTTTGTGTCATTTACCTCTGATTTTATGTTCCCAAAGTGGTGTGGTAACGGCAACATGGCAAGTAGGATATTAATGGAGGCTCTCCTCAGATCAGTAGGATTTACATACATCTTAAACTTGGATAGCTCCCTAGATGGAAAAGTATTTTAATATAAGTGTTCAGTTCAAAGTCTAAACAAAAATATTTTCATGAATACAGAAAACAAAACTGACCTGTCTGGCACAATAGTTTCAAGAGCAGCTATGAAGTAGGGCACAACCACATTTATGCCCTTCAGGTCAGAGCAGAAGAGGGAGGAGGAGTTCAGAATAATTGAGGCTAGTACTGGTCTACAGATGAAGTCAGAGATCTGGAGTCCTTGAATAAGAACCATATAGAATCTGAAAAAAAATAAAAATAAATAAATAAATGAATACAATGTTTATACCTTAAACTAATTGACATGAAATATTTTTAATGGACCTATATTGTACAAAATGGATTCTTGTGCTCTTTAAGCCATGTTAGAATGTTGCTACCTCATCAAAAACATACAAAAAACATCAGAGTTGTGTTTAGTCTCATTCACACACATCTGAGTAACCCTTTATTATTAGTCTGTCTACATCCCCAAAGCTCAAAATGCTCTGCTCCACCTTCTGATGTCATGAAGTAGTAGTTTTCAAGTTAAAGGCTCCTTTTATCTTTTGTTCAGTAAAGATTGGCAATTCCGCGGTTGAAATTATCCAAACAATTCTAGTGAAGGTGTATGAAGTTTAAAAACAGTAGAACACTTGATGTATGATATCCCAATATAGAACAGAGTGTTTTCCGTTTGAGAGAGGAACACTGTCTAAATATACAGGACTTCTGTGTTAAACATGTGTGTAACAAAATACAAGTCCCGGTATGTTTTTAATGGAACATACAATATTATAACATAGATGAGAAAATAGCGCAATATAGACCCTTTAAATCTTTTGCAAACTCCATTTGCATGTATGTATCATTACCTGGAGAGATACACCGGTAAAATGTCTTCTCCAGTTTTCTTGCTACAGAAAATACGGCAGAGGGTCCCACAGGCTTCAGCGCGGCCAGCCTCGTAGCTCTCTGGGAACTCATTGGCATCAAACAGTGGGTTGGACACCATGGATTCAGTGGACATTTGAGAGCCCTTCCTCCTCAGTTCCAGACCTACTTGTGTGGCTATTGCTGCAGAAAATGGCAGAGACAGAGAATGAAAACACCCCAAGTTGTACTGCATTCTATTGTTAACATGCATGTATTCAGTATAGGCAAACCGATAACTGGCATCTGCGATTTGGCACACAAAATAACAATTACAAATCATACAGGCAACATTTATTACTACCACAAAAGGAGACTTGACAAACTGCAAACACACACTCTCACGGATCAAAAGCATTCAATAAAGGGGAGTTCTGACACAACGACTTCACCGTAGGGTTAACGTTAGCAGAGTGCGGTGGATTGGTAATAAAACATGTCAGTCACTTCTTGCTGCATGGACAAAGCAAAATCCCTGTGTCAGCTCCCATGCTGTAGCAATTATATGACTGTCACTTATACTACAAACATTCACATCATGCATCGAGGCACCAAACCAATAAACTTAAATAAGTGGACAAGAGATAAAGACATTGATGCTGAACTCATAGGGGTCTCACAGATTTCAAGAATAAGGATTAGTATGACCCAAATAAAATGTTAACATAAATAAATGAAAAAACAAACAAACAAATAAATAAATAAATAAAATAAACAAAATATGATGGCGTTGTCATGGTTGAAAAATGTGGTCAGTTGGTGAAACCCATTCCATCACCTTTGAAGAGAGAGAACGCTGGTGAACATTTTATATGGCATGGTGGCAAGAAATTAAAATATGGCAGTAATGGCAATGGTACAAATGAACAAAACAAAAGCAGGAATATTTGTCAAGAAACGCAAATCAAGTGAGGAAAAATAAGCTGCCGTTCCTACTTACAAGATTTATAAGAAAGGAGAATTTGGATAAAAGAGGCTGCAAGATAACAGAAATAGTGGAGAGACACAAAATCAAAGCAGATCCAATTCAAATCAGGCATGAATTGTGATTTTATTTTTGTTTTCCCTCACTAGTGACCTTCATATCACTTAAGCTCTAACAATAGACAATGTAGACACAAGCAGGACACTACACCAATAAGAAAAAGAAATGGACACCTTATAACTTGCCATGTTACCATTGTCCCTCTTTAATAATTTTTTGCTTTTTCAATAAAAATCATATTGATATAGCATGTTGCTATGGAATCTGATGCCAAAATGACACTGTGTATTTATTATTCTTGTTGACTTATTTAAACCTGTAGAAATATACTTTTAAAAACGGTCAGATTTCAGGAAAAACACCTATCTGTCATTCATCATGCTCTAGCTTATTTTATTTGGCTCGACATTATCTTGAATGTTTAAAGATGATGTTTTTATTATTTTGACAGTCAATGAGTAGGTTTGTTAAAAAATGCCTGATATGCAATTTACAATATAATGTCAAAAGAAAATATTGATTTATGATATTGGCATAACAAATGTACTGTATGTCTTGTACAATACAATATTACTGATAATGTTGGGCCAATTATCTGTCTGTCTGGCCACATCAATCCAAACCATCAACTCAGAAAGGCCTGTTCTGAGGATAAAATGGTGAAAAAGGAAAAAAAAACATCCCAAAAACACAGACGTATAAAAACACAGAAAACTCCACAAAAACACGTACCATGACCAGCGACAAAAACACCCACCTGCCCATGCACAAAGGGAATGCACTTAGCCATGGTGAGCTGCTTACCGGTCATACTGGGGTCTCTGCTCAGCCCACTGTGGAGCTTACAGTGCACCAGAGCAGCGTCGAACAGCCACTGTCCAAACAGGTTGAGGATGCTGTTGACTTTTGGTCGGGCTGGGGCAGGTAGAGGCCGGGACTCCCAGCTGGTCTGGTTTGGACTGGACAGTAGTGTGGGCGAGGAGGATGGCTGCTGCTGTTGCTGCTGTTGTTGGGACGCTTTGGTTGGTTGAGCCCCACTTGCCTGCACAAACACGGTAAGATATTGTTGCGCTTAGTAAGACCTTTTGCTCTGTAGCATCAGTGAAATCTTATCTACAAACAGAGCAAGCGTAAATTCAGCCTGGAAGACCTAACCTTACCTCTTCAGAGTTTACCTGCTCCTCAGCCGTCATATCACCATACCCCCCCCCCCTAACCACACTTCTCCAATCAGCGCCCACTTTGACCAATTTAAACCCCAATTACACCACTTCAGCTTGTGCCCCGCCCCACCTCCTTCCCAGCACATCCTCGACTTCACTCTCCCCGGCCTCATCTCACATCACATTATCTAATCAGCCACGCTCTTCATCACAATATCTTCTGCCTGGGTCTGAGTGCCAAAGCTAACTCATTCAATAAAGCATACTAATAACTAGTTTCCTTTTTCCAGGTTGAAATGTAGTAGTTTTTTACTCAGTTTTTAAGTTTAGCACCAAGCTTCACTCCTCAGTGCATTCACAAACAATACAAAATATAACAGATACGATACAACTCTTTCTTAATACTTCCAACTTCATCAGTTCAATGTGTAAATTATGAATCCACTCTTCCATATTTTTGTTTAAATGTTCTTAGTACAAGAAAGTACAGAAACAAAACTAAACTTGTGTCGTGTGCCGTTTTGAGGTATAGAAATTAAGGACTTACAGTTGAGCTCTTGCTTGTCGTTTTGGTGACCACTGCATGACGTTGCTTGCGACTGTGAGGGGGAGTGGTGTTGGTAATGGAAGGGGGCGGAGACATGCTCATTCTGTTGACTGGGGTGGGCGGGGCACTGTCAGCCCTGGGTCGTGATATACCTGTCAATAAAAACACATGCATAATTAGCTGAGAAAATTTCATTTTCCCCACTCTATTTACACAACATTAAATCTGATTGGCCTCAAACAAATAGGACTACTTTTCATGCCTCATGTACTGGCAAATCTTAAAAGTGAAAGTTATGTTCCCAATTCAACTGTAACACAAAGGAAAGAAATGACTCTTCATTTAAGATCTAGGAGTTGATCAAACATTCATTGGCAAACATGCAAGACAACTGTTAGACACAATCAGAGACATATTTTCAGAGACACTGATTTTCTGTAAGCCCACAGTAGTTGTTGATCTTGCTGCAAAGTGTGAATATGGAATCTGGGACAAGTCACCAGGGTTAATGTTACCACCGCTCAATCCATCAAAAACCCGCTTCATAAAAACAATAGTTCATTTGTGTATACCATGGGAGTGCAGCCATGGAGAGAAAGTGAACACCCTCTCCCGTACGACTTTCTTTGCAACAGAGACACCTACAGGACAATACAGAGAAATACATACGACATGGATCTATTCGCCATCACTGAGGTGGTAGTTTTGGAAATGCAAGGGAAGTTATTTAGACAATTGACAGAGAGATGTCAGATTCAGGGAAAGCGGATGTGCTTTCTCTGAGTCTGAAACTGCCAAACTTTAAAGGGCCCATATTGCGCAATTTTCTGATCTGTGTTTTTGCTTGTCCTCATCAAATATAAACCTGGAGTTGTATTTTGTTTCTATGACACGTGTTTAACAAACAAATCCTGCATGTTTAGGATAAGTTCTCTCAAGTAAAAAATGCTTTTTAAACTCCATAAACCCTTACTAGAATTTAGTTTTAAATGATTTCAATCCTGGAATTGTCATTCTCTACTGAACTAAAGATAAAATGTAGCTGTTAACTTGAAGACCACCACTACATGAGGTAACAATGTTCCAACATGACTAAAAGCTCACAAGAATCCATTTTGTGTAATACAGGACCTTTAAAGACTTTCAATTATTAATCAGTATTACCATAAACTACTTTTTGTAAAGGATTTTAAATTACAGAACCATACAATATCGTTTTTTTCTTACTTATTGAAGATTGTGTTCAAATGTGCTCTTTTGTCCATTCTCTTTCTTACCCAAGAATGCATCCACTAAGCAGCTGACACCCCTCATAGCCCTGAAGAAGATCTGAGGGAGCTGTTTTAGACATGGATGTAGTACTACTTCATGAGGAATCCCACTGGAGTTCAGGAACTGTTCTTGAAACTTTGGAGTAGTGCTCACAATGGCTGGGTTACTTAAATCCACTGGGTTGCTGAAGAATATAAAGCAAAATTATATTAACAAAAGATTGTAGTGGTAGTAATAAAGTGCAGACACTTCCAAATGTAAAAAACACAATTTTTCCTAAATGAATATAAAAAAAAATTATAAAACACAGGAAAAGTGAGAGCTTGGAGGGTTCTCTTTGTGGAAAATACTGAACAGGTTCTTCTCAAGGACAAGGCTCAAACGCTACCAAACAGTAAAAATGACCATGCTTGTGGTATAAAAATGTGCTGTTTCAAAGCAGTCAAAAAGGCCCAAATTGTGTCGAAACGCGTTGGCTTGTCCCATGTAAGCAATAAAGGGCTTTTACCTTCACTAGCAGAGTGCCTTTTTGACCACTTTTTAAAGCTTTGTCACAGTAGGTTTTTATACTATAAGCATTGTCATTTTCACTGTATGCTCATTTATTTTGATAAAGCAGTTTTGAAATGGCAGGTGAGATATTTCTGTAAAGCCACTGGGAAGTAGTTACAGGACATGAGGAAGTGTTGTATGAGGAACAGTTGAGAGTTTTTAGTTTCTAACATCAAACCTGTGTCTCTTCCTGAACACTGTGACAAAACAAGGTAGGGTAAGGTAACCAGGGTGAGGTAGCAACAAATTCTGATATTTGTACCTGAGCATGTGAAGGAAGCGGTACCATGTTTGGGCCACACAGTCATCGTCCATCTCTAATGGAATCAGGTTAGCATCCTCATCCGGGACTTTGAACGGTGGGAATGTTGGTCCGTGTGTGAACCTCAAAAGTCTTAACAAAGTAGACAAAATTATTAATTTGCATATTCAGAACATCATATAACACCATTCACCATATCTGATGTTGTCAATATTCCCTGGGAATATAATGCTAACCGAAAGCACTGTTCTGTTCGAAGCTCTGTTACTCAAGTTAGACCTAGTCTGATCTTAATTTTAACACAATCTGATCAGAAAGAGATTGATTGGAGCTACAACAGCTGAGATGTGTGCTGTTAAACAAGACTCTAAAAACATAAAATTCACAAATATTATCCTTCAGTTGGTCACCTCTTCGTTGACACTTAAATAGGATAATGAACATCGGTATTAATCACGGGCTGCTGAAAATGTGTTGTTTAAATCCATTTTGTTAGTTTTTTTTGGAGTTTTCAGACAAACATTTTTGTCTGTGTTTGTTAATGTGCATTGCATCACCATAGAAACTGCTGAACATTCAGCCAATAGAAATGCATTACAGAACACTCCCAGCATGATTTGACTACAAAGTATCTTAACACGCATAAAAAGCTAATCAGATATAAGAATAATACCAATACAGGCCTTTATAGTTTAGTAAATCTCAGTTTAGTCAATACATTCAAATTAGATTTGTGTAAAAGAAACTGATTTATTTATTTCTTATATGTGGGCATCAAATGAACTAGTCCAGAGCAAAGATGTTTGTAGTTCACACAGTATGAGTATAAGTGTGCCTCCTAGAGTTTACATAACAAATGAGCTTAAAAGACAGCTACATGTCAATGATGTACAGCATTGATCGAGCAAATAAATATATAAAGGGTTAAACGTAGATTAAGTATTATGCTTTTCTGCAACCATAAAACATTGTAATTTTATATTTTTTGTTTAATACATTTTGTGTGGCATTAAAAAGGTTGCCCTGTCTTCAAGCCCTTCAGTTTTTTTGTTTGTTTTTTTTGTTTAGTTTATTTGGTACACAGAAGCATGCGTAGTGCATAAGGAGCAGACTGACGCAATTGCTTATTAGCACCTACTCCTTTCTTCCTAATGATAGCAAAACTTTTCACTGTATATTATATTTAAAGAAAGTACAGTGTATTGTGGCCCAACCTGGAGGTAAGAGCAGAGGCCACCCTGCTCCACTGCTCTACCACAGGAGGGTGATGTCTCCAGTTGGCGAGCATCTCTCTTGCCGTCTTCCAATATGGCGGTGTGGGGAAGCAGCGGGCACATGCCAACAGCCACACCTCAAACAGCACTGCCATGAGTTTTTCTGCCAGTTTTTCAGCCACGCCAACTAAAGAAAACATTAGAGGGGATATATTATACTGTTAGAATGATTTTAGCTAGAATAGTTAGACAGGCTGCACTGTTCTTCAGCAACAACATATAAATTAATAATTAACAAGAGCAATGCACATCTAACACCACATAAACAAATAAAGCAAGAAGAACCAAAACAACTCAAATAAAACAAGAAAAGCAGAATCCAATAATTTGCATTTTAATCTTTTTAATATTCTTTGTAAATCTTAAAATATGGATGAGCAATATTCAATGAGGTCTGTACTTCAGCAGCTTAGAGTTTAACATGTTTCTTGACTAACAGACCAAATATTTGTAGATGTATCAAATAAAGTTCATCCAGAATATATTGCTATTTACCTCCAATAGTGGGTGGTGCAAGTAATGTGTCATTGATGCGCAGCAGAAAGAGAAGCAGCACCTCCCATGTTTCCCTCACCATGGAAACAGACTCGCGGGCCAGTTTTTGGACTGCAGTTAGGACCTGCTGGCACAGTCTGATGTGGTTTAGGCTGTGCTGCTCAGGTCTACAGGAGGAGAGTAGGTGAAAGGTTACAAAAACAAAGTCAAGAGCCATAGCTAAGGTGTAGAATTTCAAACTAAACAATCTGAAGAGTGCCATACCTTGGTACAAAGACATTGTAGAGATGTTTGAGAATGAGCTGGACGTACATATTGGGCTCTTTGATCACAGGCTGAGGCATGGAGTCTCTGGGAGAGACCAGGGCCATCATCCAGTCTGTGTACACGTCCACGCACAGTTTGACTGTTTCGCCCTCTAAGGGCAGGGTGAGGCCGTAACAGAGTACCTCCATGGTCCATTTCACCTGAAACACAACGTTTTTCCATTGTTCACCTTGACTCTGGAACTTGGTTTTAAAATGTTTTGCTTTAACACATTTACTTTTGCGATAATAATCTACACAATACACTAAAATTCTGGATAATGAATACAATACAAAAGGAATAGACTCAATACTCAATAGGTTTGAAATACCACAATGTCAAAAAATACTCTTGAATGTCATTTTCAATATTAAATCATAGTACTTTCTTTTAAATTACTATGCGGTTTTATATCTGTCTAGTCCCTCAGTCATCTAGGTAGGTAGCATAGTGGTCTATGGGAGAGCACTAGTTCATGTGCTCTTTCTTATTCTTGCTCTCATAGATCTTTGCTCAAGATCTTTCTAAAGCTATTCAGGAAAGGTTCATTGCTGTCCTGTCCTGTGTTTTTGTATCAATACCTGCTCAAATAAGTATATAGTTCTGATAGTTTTAGTATTCATTTGTATTTGCTTTAGCATACTATTACTACAATACAAATACTACAGTACAAATACAAAATAATTATTTAGTATTTGTATTGTCCAATACTTTGGACAACAGCAGCACCAAAATAATTAAAAGATTATACTATATTATATTAAACCAACCTAAGTATAGCCTGGAAGGCATCATCCAATCACCATCCTCACAAACTCCAGCCTCACCTACATCAGAAAATCCTCAGAGCATAATCTGGATACAGCCACACTGTTGCTAATCCTTATCCACCCTTTTCTATTTAAACCAACTCTTCAGTTACCTCATCTGTTGCACACCTTGTGCCACGCCTACCTACACGTCATCACCCAACTGACATTACCCTCTTCCTCTGCCTCTTCATCTTCCTCTACACTATCATCCTTGACTCTCCTTGGACTCCTCCTCTGCCGCCACCACCAGGAACCACCAACACATCCATTCAACCACAGCCGCACATGTCTTTCTTTCAAATACTCTCCAAAATTCTCATTTTATTCAGAACTTCTTTTACCTGAGATAAGTTAAAAGTTTGGCACTTCATTTATTGATTCTGTAAAAAATGTACCATGTACTTCCACCTCTCAATCACGCCCTCTGGAACCGGAGAGATGTGACACAGCTCCAGATTTTCTCGTCTTTGTAAAGTTTTGTCAAAACATGCGGTTGGCGAGGTAACCAGAGTCCAGTGCTATTGGAAAGATTTCTTCTAAATGCTTATCTAACATTGTCCATGGTCATAATTGCGTAGTGTCTTCTGCCAGGCTCTGAGCCCCAAACAATGTATAACATGGAATATAATGCTCCTCTAATGCCTTCACATTTCAGTTTGCGGTAGTTTCATATTGTTAAAGGGGTTGCTGTAAGATTATTAACATAAGAATAAAATACTTGGGGCTGTTATTAACGTTTTCAAACTTAATGAAAAGTGCGGTAATGAGCATGGATATTGGTATTATAGGACTCTCTCATATATTTAATAGCCATTAGTTGAATATTAATCAGTTTTCTTGGTTGTGTAGTCCATCTTTGTTTCTATAATGATCATCTGATGACTTCCGCAAACAACCACATTCATCAAAATAATGCAAACTGCTCCCTTCCTTATGTACTCCCATTAATAACTACCAACATAATTATGATGTGCTGAAGATTACCTGTTCCAATGGTATTGACAAAGGGAAGATATTTCTATGTACTCTGGCACATATCCAATTACACACCTAGACAAGATTTTAAAGGCCAGTTCTAAAGATGTGTTTTCATATTTGCATTTGATTAAACTTTTAGACGAACCAATACACATAAAAAAAAAATCACAATATCAGAATTTTATATATCCATCATCTTGCTCAATTAGATTTTTATTTATTTATTTTATTTTATTTTATTAGTGGCTACAATTTTTAAGTAATACAAATTTTAACAACTATCGTTTCATATATCTTTCAACACCTGCCACAAAGTCCTGACCAAAGCAATGCTGTATCTCACACACTTGCCCGGCATCACCAAAAGCTTAATTTTCGTCACTCCACACTCATGTTGTCAGTTGAAATCTCCGGCCTGCTTTGAGCCATGTGGATAACCTTCTAACAAAAGTAAACATTCTGAAACCAACAAAATATCAGTATTATATGTTGGCATGAAGGAGGACATAACAATAGCCTCAAAACTAGGAGCATTCATTTTAAAGGTCCTGTATTACACAAAATTAATTCCTGTGTGCTGCAAGTCATGTTATTATGTTGTTACCTCCTCAAAAATTTGAATTACTGTTTTGTTTCATTCACACATGTTTGTGAAACCCTTTATTATTAGTCTGTCTACATTACAGAATGCTCTGTTCTGGTCTGTTCTGCTGTGGTGTCATGAAGGAGTAGTTTTCAAGTTAACTACTCCTTTAGTTTAGTTTAGTTTTTAGTTTTAGTTTAGTTTAGTTTAGTTTTAGAGATGGTCAATTTTAGGTCTGAAATTATCCCAGTGATTCTAATGAAGGTGTATGGAGTTTAAAAACACAGCACTTCCTTTATTACCACATGACATCACAAGGTGGAATAGAGGAAGAATTCAGACAAAATGTGCAGGGTTTGTGTGTTAAACATGTTTGAATGAAACAAAGCAACTCCAGGGGTGTTTGTGATGAGGAAACATTATACCATAACTCAGAGAATAGTGCAGTAAGTGTCCTGTAGGGCTTGGCAGCACTGGCCTACAGCAAAGTTAAATATTCATGTTAAAGTAAGGTTCTTTCTTACCTCCTTGTCAGTCTTGAGGATGTTGTCAGTGGCTACAGGGCTTACAGCCGTGCCCAGAGGCTTGACCACAGCATTGGCCACCTCTGTGCCCACAGTGGGCGGGTAGGTGTGCAGAACGCTGAGGTTGCTCTGGTCACTTTGCACCACCAGCTGAAGGGAGCGCCACTCCGAGTACATGCTGCTGATGTCAGGTGTACTCTACTCACACCTCCTGCCTCCACCTGTACACACCACATCAGCACTTCACAACAACTAAATACAGCCATTTCACACATTGCAATTTGTCGTTTTATCATACTGTTTAAAGGGTTGCTGTAAAGTTGGCAACATATGGATAATATAGTTAGGGCTGCTATTAGCGTGTTCAAAAACAGTTTGAGGGAAATGCCTCTTTGAGTGGATTGTACGTGCAACAGTGACACGCTACGTGGTTAGGAGTGTGTGTTAATAATAAGTATGGATATTGGTAATAATAATGAAAGTGTTTGGGAATGATCTCCAGACAAACTGACAGGCTCGTGTTTATCTAGTACTGCAGTAACTTGTACAGTAATCACATTCAATAACATTCTACAAAATCACACAGCATAGTGCTTGATTTGTGAGGAAAACGATACAGTCATTGATGTGACGCATAAAAACAATAACAAACGCTACTGAAACTCAAATCTAATGACAACCCGACGAAGCAAAACCAGGAAACGGTTCGGGGAAATGGAAAGCTAGCTTATGCTAGCCTGTGTTTATACGACAACATGCAAGATGACCGTGTTTCATCGGCTAATCCAAGGCATAAACAGCACCACATCTTGTACATGTAGCTGTCAGGCGGCTGTCAAAAATACATGGCGTCTCGTGATCTTAAATATAAGCTGTTTTTATCTACGTGGTATAGTTGCTAGCCTATTAGCACAGCTAATGCTGGCTAGCCTGCAGGTTGACATTAGCAAATCTCCTGTCATACGGGCTAACTATTAACTTTGCCGGGTCCTGACGTTTATATGTTTGCTCTAAAATCAGGAGCTACATTTTACCTGGACACGTTGGAAATGTTGTCATAACAGAGCTTGGAAACTTGCGAATAGCTTTTCGTTATCCTGCTCTAGACCATAACAGCCTCCATCTTCGCAATGTCAAGGCTTGGATAGTGGAGAGTGCTGCCCACAGTGTATGTGCTGCTTACGGGCTAATGGGAAACAGGAAGGGACTGTGCACTGCGCCCCCTCTTGGAGGCATGCTGCATGCGCACACAAACAGCTGCAAAGATATGACAGTTGTCCACTAATGTATCCAATGCACTGATGTATGTAACATCCAACTATTGGCCAGCTTTATCTGTCCAGTAGTGGTATGTATGTACTAACATGTAGGCTTCAATCAGAAAGGATAAGTAGAGGGAGAACAGAAGCCTACAGACACAGAGTAGGCAACTGCATGTGATGACCTATGCCAGAGGTAGTAGAGTTCTTCTAAAATGCACAATTATTAAAGATACAATAATTATAGGCATCTCTTATGTTTGGCCCTTGGCCCACGGATAAGTTTTGAATTAGAGTAGCAATGACAGCAGACCACAGAATTTAAACATCATAGTTCTTTTATTGAAAAATAATAAAGAACTGTAAAGTAAGCTTATGTTACACTTTAATGGTGATATAGTGCATACACATCTTAATGTTATTTTCAACAATGACAAATCAGCAGTAGTAAGCCTGGGGGTGTTCTGTCAGAAGAGGGCAGCAGAGTTTATAAAAGCTGCTTTTGAAATTGTTTGAACAAGGATAAATACATCAATATACCATGTGTGTATTTTGTCCTATGTAGATAGTTGAATTATGAAAAGCCTTGATCAGTGTAAAGCCATGATTACAGACCTAGTTGGACATATGTGTGTCATAGCCTACTTGAAGAGAATGTGGTATGTCTGTAAGTAATTTTCTTAGAGCTTCTGTTATTTTGAACCCCTCTAACATACACACAAATATCCAATGTAAATAAAATAGTGTCAACAGAGTGATTATTTCAGTAGAAATTCATTAAAATGGGAACAGTTTGCAAAACATATGTTGCAATACACATATGGTTCTTGATACATTCTACACTCCCAACAAAACCACCAGTAATGTGCATAGTAACATTTTTCCTCCAATGAATGCAATACAGGTGTAGACCAGATGCAATGGAAAAGCAAACAGCCAGTCAATCATGAGTTTTTTCAACAGTCAACACATGGCCATATTATTCCAGGCCTATCCCTTTAGTGTCTATGGCCTCCATGTGCACGCTGCTTATAAACTGGCTGCAAGTCTCTGGGTGATGTCCACAAACGGGGAGAGGCAGGAGAGAGAATTATAGAGGAAAGTCAACATTCTTCTCCACCCTCCGTCCACCCATGTTTGGGCAGAAGCATGCGCAGACTCAGGGCTGCTACGACTGATAGCCATAGGACAATGCATCTACAGGGAAGAAAAGCAGAGTTCAGTCCAGGTACTCACACAGTTGAATTGACTATAATGTAAGTGTGTTATCTGATGGTTGAAATGGTTGGTTGAAATTTATGTAATTAGTTTTATTATGGAGACACCTTGTCCACAGAAATAAAAAAATAAAAAAGGCTAAGATATAAGATAAACAATATTTCATAATTATCATCATCATTATCATTCGATAATAGCTATACAGTAACTAATGACCACAAGAAATTTCACCAAATCTTGCTTTTTAAATGTGCTCTTTGAACTTAAAACAACCACGTAATGTATTGTGAATATTAGTTACCACACACACATTTAACAAAAAGTTTATGGGAAAATTTATCTTCTGGAACCGAAGCAGACTGGTTCTATTCTATTAATAATATTGATCACATTTTCAACAATCTTCCATTTTCTCACATGCATTAGGCTTATATTTGAATGTCTAATGCCCAACAATAGTATGGAAAAGTTATCCATTAACTTAAAATTCAACAAAAATTCAAGATGTTCATCTGTGTGTTGCCTGATTCCTACGAGCGCACCTATGAATGTCTTTGCATGTCTATAAAGTAAATAGTTAAACACCTGTTGACATGTCGGTGTCATGGCTAACCTGAGTGAAATTGTGCAGTGCAGCAGAGCCCGTCCCCCCGGGCAGTACGATAGATGGGAGACACACAGACTCGGGCCAGTGGGGGCAGGTGGGATAGGCGTGTAGACAGAGACTCAGGGGGCAGGTACATGGTAGAGCGCTGAGCTGATATTGAGTTCTGTTGGTCCTCCCAGGTGAGCCAGTACCCTCTGAGTCCAGAACCAGCCCCCCTCCAGTCCACCTGCACCGAGTCACTGCCCACTGTGGTCAGCTGCAGGTCCGACAACGCTGGTGTCACTGGGAATTACAAGGATTTTTCCATTAAAATGTTTTCACTGTTTAAGTTATTGTTTAGTGAAGTGTTGTTTTGCCTCCTTAAAAGGCACAGTGGTGACACAAGCAGCAGTGGGTTGTCTTGAGCTGACTTTTAACTTTAATTAGTGGTTTAAGTTAAGTAAGACAGATAAAGACAGATGACACATGACAGCTTATTGTATAAATAAACCTACACATGGTATTTCTACTGTATTCATGTCATTTATTTCTAAATCTGATCCCGTATAATTCACCTATTGCTGTTATAGTTTTGGTTACCATTGTACTGTACATTATACTGTAGATCAAAGGCCTTTTTCTTGTGATACTGGACAAATACACAGCACTTCAGAGTGATAACCTGTTATGGCAATTATAACTGTCAGTGTTTTGATTTGTTTCCTCATTCTTTGTTGCTATAGTGTTGAGGTACGTAGCAGAGCTCTGGTGCTCTCTTACTGTTCAACATACGCCTACTCCTAATGATAACAAGAGACACATAAGAAGTAATTCTATCGTGCAGAAGCACAATAACGTGGGAATGCAGAGGTGGTCAAACTGGAATAAACCTGAACAAGCAGACTTATGTGGGATTAAACCTGGATATCCGATCTCACCTTCCTCTGTGCACACTTTGACTGACATGGCCCTCTCTGTGCCAGAGGAGTGTCTGGCGCTCACGGTGACCAGGTAGGTGGAGTCTGGCTGGAGGTTCCGTAGCACAGTGGAGTTTTGGGTCCCGCTGACGGTGACAGCATTGAGTTTTCCACTGGGTAAAGTAGAATATTCAATGTAGTAACTGATGACACGGTCAGGCTGGAGAGGGCCCCAGTTTATCTTCACACTGTTTGACGATAGCTCAGAGATGGATATCACAGCCGGGCTCAGCACCTCTGTGGAAAAATAATGACTTACTAACAATTTTTAAAAAGAAATGCTAATTTGTATGTCGTCAGTATATAAAAACACCAGCACAAATTATTATACTTATTATATTACATGACTGGTAAAAAAGGAAATAAATATATATTAAATGTGTAATGTTTTAGAATTGAATAAGTTTATTCTTAAAGGCTACACAGCACTATGCTGAACACCAAACCAATTGGACTGGATAAAAATAAGGTTTGCATGTTAGCATGTTAACTTTAAACTACAGACATGTTGCCTGTAAGTCTAAACTTAAGATAAACAAAACCAAAGTTCACACTAATCTAAATCTGGACACAGACCTACGAGGTGGCAGACGAGTTGCTAAGCACTTGTCTGTATTTAGAAATATGAGGTTAATTTGTTTACAGTTGTGGCCAATTGTTAATATAATAACATATTAATAAACATTATTCATACAGATTTAAATGCATAGAAAGTCAAGATGAGCAAAATTTGTACACAATCTGCAAAACTGCAGATATAATGAAACCACTCAGCAATATAAAAGTGGAATGTCCTGTGTCTTAAATGTACCAGGACACTTCTTACGTAGAAAAGACAGAGAAAAGAGTTGTTGACCATTGCATAACTTACCTGGTTTGGTGGTGAAGGTGACAGACAGAGTGTTGAAAGCCTGCTCATTAGACTCAGGGGTCAGGGTGGCCACATATGTCGTGTCAGGCTTGAGTCCTGTTAGCCTGGCTGTGCTGGAGTCTGCGGACTGAGTAAACCTCTGGTACTGACCACCACCAACACTAGGGCTGGTCCCAGGACCCCCAGTACCACTCCCAGCCCCTCCAGTGGGCGCTGGACCAAAGCGAATCTCATAGAAGCCATTTAAGCCTGTGAGCACAGGGCGCCACTGCAGTGTAGCAGAATTGGTAGAGATGTCCCGTGCTGTCATTCTTTCAGCTCGGATAATTTCTACAGAGTAAAAAGAGAAACCATTTTGATTAAAATATTATCTTTACATGTGCAGTGTTGTTGCATAACTGAAATACTCAACAGGCCAGGATTGTCCTACTATTACATGATATTTTTAAAGGATTACGATAAGATTCATTAACTCTCAGATAGAAATAAAATGCATAAATTAATTAACTTCACATCAGCTGGCATAACAGAATTTTTGATAATAGGCTTAGCTAACAGAGTCTTATTGATTTCATACCTGCAGCCACCTACAAAGCAGACATACTTTTGCATTACAGAGTAGCAACTAACTATCCCTCTAGGTCCTGTGCATGATAACAATCCCTACAATTACATTTATAATGTCTTTAGGCTCTTCTTTGTGCCATTCATAAAGCCTGACATCTTTCATGCTGTGACTGAGCTGTCCCTGGTGGCTGCACACCTTCCATCTTGAGGCTATATATACTCTTACATACATTACTGAATCATTAAACCCTTAAAAGACAGCCCTATCTCATTACTGCTTTCATGACACACAGACAGTCCCTGTTTAGGATCAAGTCTCCAACTTCTATGAGGCGTGTGGGTATACAGTGAATATAGACCCCGGTTTAAATGTCCTTATGTTCAACTAGGTCCAAGAGTTCTTGTTGCTGTTTAGCATGTCTGGATGACTGCATGACTGCACATATTTTTGTAGGCCCAAGCATGTCATGTTTTCCAGCATATAAAGTTTTTTTTTTATTCTGCATGTTACGATGTGCGTGTGTTGGATCAATCTGTGAATCCTGACATAAAGACAATATATGGAATGTAAAAGGTTGGCCTGTTCTTACTTGAAATGTCAAGTGCTAAAAACATGAATGTCACAAGACAAAAATGATACAAGCATCAATTAATCTGAGTCTTGACAGCTCTGTTTTACCTGGCACCTCATCTGTAATAAATAAGGTGTTTTTTGGATGTCAGTGGGTTATAGAAGGTAATAATGCAAGGATGGTTCTATATGTATGTAGTTTTTGTTCCACTGCTTTTAGAACATACACAGTACATATGGGTCATTGCAACACTGGCAAGACAGAGGGAATCAGTCTTCCACTTCCTGGACAGCCTCTCTGGGAAAATATCATGGCAGGAGAGTAAAATGGTACATGTCTAGAAGATTATAGGGAAGGCCTCTAAAACATAAAAGGTCCAAGGTCACACAGCTTTTGCTTTAAACTTCAAAATCTCAGTTTATACAATGGGAGAACAAAGACAGGCATAACTGTAATGTTTTATATATTTACATATACAGTATACACAATAAAAGGTAAATATCAATGTTAACCTTTAGTGTGTGCCTTTTTTGTCTTTTTGTTCTTTGAAATACCTGTTTCATACATTATTTTGGATTGGTAAAACACATTATTTTAGGATACTTTCAATAAATCAGTGGCGTGTAGAGAGTTAAACTAGGTAATGCACATCTTAATGCACATAGGTCTGTCTACTTATCCTTGAATATTTAAAAGATGAAACAATATCTTTTTGGGGTCAGTATTTATCATATGTACAGTTTCTTTGCTGGGAAATTTTTTGGTTTTTTTTTGGTTATACAAGACGATTTGAGCCAGGAAAGGTAGAATAAATAAGATTTAAACTAAGTACTTAAGTGTTAGAATAGTTTTTCTGGTTTAAATCTACTGTTGGGTTTTTGTGTCAGTTTCAATATTATCATTTATCATCTATATTTACTGATTTACTTATATCAAACTTCTAAATGTGTTATCATGACAGGCATACTCACTTACCTATAATGGCATTGCGGAGATCCTCTGTGATGATACTGAGGTCATCAATATCCACAAAGTACAAGTGTTGGTCAATAGGGGGCGTCACCACATCCCTGAGCACCTGATAGTTCCCATGTCCAGTAGAGACCACCAGCACGGCCACACCCTCCTCCCTCAGTGCAGCCATGGGCCCTGTTACATCTCCAGGCTTCACCCCGTCTGTCAACCACACCAGCACCCTAGGGAGCTCCTTCCTGGCTCCTCCGGGGATCCCTGGTCGGAGCACGGTCTCTGCGGCTATCCTCAGTGCTTCTACTGTGTTAGTATCTCCTCGGAGTGGCCGGGTGTTTCTCACCGCCCCCTGCAGGCTGGTCTGGGAGTAGTGGGAGCTAAAGTCAAACTCCACTTTTGGCTGGGTGCCCACTTGGAGGAGTCCCACCCTGACCTGGTCTTCACCCAAAGAAAAGGGCAGCAGCAGATCGGAGAGGAATGAGAGCAGGCGTGAGTGTTCATAAGAAGAGACACTTCCAGAGGAATCCAGGAGAAAGAGGACATCGCCTTCGCAACAGTTCAGCACTAGAGAAGATAGTTAAAATCAGTATTTCAGATTGCAATTGTGTAATGCAGGAGCAGTCAAAACTAGAGACAGACCGATATATCGAGGCCAATTTGCACTTTTAGCATATCAGCCTTAACTCTGTAGCAACCAGTTGTCTAAAATGATGAACAATGAAGTAGTTTGTAGTGAATTAAAATTGATAAAGTTACATGAAAATAATCAAAATCATCTCAAAATATCAGGCCTAAAATGATCTGTATGAGCATCAGCCATGAAAAAAATCATATCGTTGCATCTCTAGACAAAACATACGGTACTACTGAAACATTGTGACAAACTAGCCTGCATAGAGGATCAAACTCCCACGTTCCCATTCCTTCACTATGGGGGCATATGGAGAGCAGGATCAGGGTCTTGCTTAGGGAGATTTTGATGGCAGGGATTAGACTACCAACTTCACAGTTTTGCAAAATTATTATTTCATATTTATTTATTTTTGTTCAAGTGAAGTTTTTTGTACTTAAACACATAATTAGCTGTTTGTGAATGTACATTTTGTTTCAGCATAAGCATGATTTCATGGCCATGAGGACAGAGTTTAAAGGTGCATTGTGTAACTTTTCTGTTGGAGGGTACGTCAAATGCTTTTCAATAAAAAGATGTTATATTTTTCTGGATATTTTTAAGTTATAAAACTGTAATCTGTAATTGAATAGATGTAAACTAGAGTTGTTTAGTAGATGATGGACAATAAACCAAAAGGTTATATAGTGCACCTTTAATATGTGTAATTATGTTTTAATAAAATGCCTATAATAATAAATCAATCAAATATTTTCCCCACCTTTCGGCATAGGAAACCTTTCTCACACTAGCTGCACAATTTTTTCCACATAAGCTTCTCTTGACAAGGTGCCACAAAATCTCCATGTGCTTTCCATTCATGGAACATAACCATTAAAATATTTAATGAGAATAGTTTTATTGAAAATACTGTTAACTGTCAAGAATGGAGGCAAGCTTGAAAAGACTAAACAGGAACCATACATTGATGAAAATACGAGATATGTTAAACATTGGCCACAGCTTCAAAGCCTGCGCAGTGAGTCAAGTCAAGGGGTCTTTCCCACCACTTCTCTACTTCTCATTATACTGGGCTCTAGTTAAAAGCTGAGGAGAAAGCAGTGAAAACAGTAGCTGGCAGGTATTAAAAAGGGAGTGGAGGCCGGAGGTGGGACTGAACGGGGAAATAAAAGGCGTTAAAGGAGCAGGCTGGTGAGGAGGGGGTAAGTGGGGAGTTCCGTGTGAGAGCCGAACAGGAATGCTGCTATGCTCCTACACACTATACAGGCCAATGAAGAGATTGCAAAGAGGGAATATCCAGATTTTACAGCAGATGTCCTCATGGAACCTAAAACCTACAGGCCCCAGTCACAGTGTAGACATAATTTAAAGTATAGCAATACCTTAAGATAGAAACACTTTAAAGATGTATTGTATAGTGTTTTTGGTGCAGGGTCCATCAAATACTTTTCTCCATGGAGATGTTATTGCTTCGTCAGAATGCCTGTTTTTCTAGGTATGTTTGACCTATGAAACCACCTGTAATTGAATAAATGTAAGGTAGAGCTGTTTAATGTCAAACTGTGAAAGATTCCATTCCAGGCAGTACAATGACATATCCACAGAAACAAGCAGGTGACGGAAAGCTACGTAGTGCACTTTTATGTTTTTTTTATAAACTTGTAAAACTAGACTGATTATTTATAGCAGTTATAGGTATTTAGGATGAGTTGATGTCATTTTTTGGAAGACATCAGAGACATGAAATCAAATAATGTCACGGTTGACACGTTTTGTTTTCTTTGGCAGCTATTTCTTTTTAATTTGTACATTTTTGCCACTTGACTAAAGCCTCTGTGAAACTTGGTGTTGAAAGCTTAAAAGGTCAAAAAAGCTTTTATAGAAATCAAACATGTGCTTACACATGCACACGAAGCCATTCACCTCCACACGCCAAAGAATTTCTCACATTTTAATGTTTGGCACTTGTGGCTTTAGGTAGGTCTTTATTCTCAGCTCAGTGTTGAAATAATGTGGTCTGCATTTTTGTTTGTTTGCTTAATGATGGAGGATTGGTATATGAGGATTAAAGACCTGCCATAAATCTGTCGTAGATAAGATACATAGATACTTTGTTGATCCTGAAGGAAATTCACAGTTTAGAATTAGCAACATAGAACAGATATTTAAAGGTTCTAAAAAACTGTGAGCTTTAAGGCAAGTTATAATGCTGGCACCTTGTCTAAATAAAACTTGTCTTGAGTTATGTTTTGTTTAATTTGCACATTTAAACAATCCTGCATTATTAGTGTGGCCACATCTCCAAAGCTCAAAATGCTCTTTTCCACCTTGTAATATCATAGGTTTCAAGTTAACAGCTACCGTTTATACCTTTTGTTCAGTAGAGACTGATAATCCTATTGCTAAAATGAGTCAAATGTCAAGTCAAGTGAATGTGTATGGAGTTTTAAAACACATGGTGTCACAAGGTGGAACAGAGTGTTTTCTGTTTGAAAGAAGAACTCAGCCTAAATACACAGGGTTTGTTTGTTAAACAATTGTGAATGAAACAAAACAACTCTAAGTCTGTTTCTGAAGAAGGAACAGTATTGTAACATAGATCAGAAAATATGGGCCCTTTAAAGTCCTCTTGCACCAGCTCTGCATTGTACAGACGTATGGCATGTGGCAAACAACTTCCAGAGCCTGTCCATGGAGCAGGACTGGGACGTTTATGTCTATCCAGTGGTTAAAGTAAATAGTTTGTTGCCCTTCTCTTGCAGTGCTCAATATTCACTCTAGTCGACAAACGAGAGTCAAGAGAAAGTGACACTTCCATTGAATTCTATTTAGTTTTTCATCCAATACTTTTGTGTATGGCCCCATCAGGTCTTATGAATATTAATAATCTCTATTAATAATCTCCACAGAGAAACTATTAGATTAGACTATTACAATTTAAAAGCATCATCAATTTGCAGATGCACAGATTTGACCTGATTACAACTTTAAGATACCATAATATTTTTAGTAATGTTTAATTTGCCTCAGCTTTGCTTATCCCTTTGTGTATTGTTGTCTTTATACATCTTCATAATAGACCAGTCAGTGACTGGGGCTTATATAAAAAGTCTAATTTAAGTTGGTTCACTCTCACCAGGCATCTATTTGTGGAGATATCATAGTGACAGCATCTCAGTGGTTGAGGTCAAGAAGCTGTTTCTCCCCCACCCTCCAAGTCACTTTGACAATCACCAGCAATCATTAATAACAGCTGACAGCATGAATACTTTAGACCTATAACCTGTATTCAGTTTAGAATACTATAAGAGTTCAAGAAGTACTGGTGCCGAATGTCTGGGTGGTCCTGGGCCCCTGCCCTCTCCCATGGTGCCTTGAGGTGAAACATCTGATTAATAGCCTACCTGGATGGATGCCACTCAAGGACTATCCCTACACCACAGTGGGGAAATAATGTGTTAATCTGAAGATTACACCTCAGCCATCGTGCTTTCATTTTCAAAAGCATGTTTATTGTTGGGATTTTGTGAGTCTTAAAACTACATTTGATTATTCTGTTTGTACACGCTTTAAGTGCTCTTTGATGAAGATCATGACAGCGCAATCATAATCCAATCTGATAAAACCAACCTGATAAAACCACAATCCCGTTAGTAGTGCATAAGGGTCCTACCTCCTTCAGGTGATGCCCTCTGCGTCCACGCTGATGCCAGAAACAGACACAAAAGGATCCATGTCGACAACACGATTTTCTCCATTGCTCCAAACCACGAAGTTTAGTCTCTCCTCCACCGGCTGTATGTTCTAATGTAAAACCCTTTACTGATCCATGAACTGATCCTGCCGAGCTCCGAGGAGCGCACTCCCTCTGTCAGTTCAAACACATATTTCCCCAGGTAAAACGGTGAAAAGTTATTTAGTCTAGAACTTAAGATGATCTTCTCTGCTAAACATTCTGGTACATAATGGTAAAGTGTTCACGGCGCGCTCTGGAAAAGAACTGAAAGTACACAGCGTGTGCGCAAAGTGCGGACGCTCCTCTCTCCAAACCACTCTGGCGCTCAGGTTCAAGTGTCAAGGGAAGACAGGGATAAAATGTAAGGACTTCCTGTCAAGAATTTCAAAATAAACCACAGACATAACAAAAACAAACAGCCAGTGCATATATTTATGAGTAGGCTATGGTGTTTTTAAGTAAAATCTTAATCCTGTAACCTTTGTTTTTGCTATGAATATACTCCACTTATACATGTAATTCTGTTTGTTAGTTTTAGAGCAGTGCAAGTTATTTATAATTGATTGATTGGACTGATATGGCTTATTTTAAATTGTTTAACTGTGTATCTTTCTCTGGACCAAAAATTATTTTATCTGTAAGTTAAAAGCCCAACAAATACAATATACTAGATGATCTGAAGACATTTGAACAGTGTACAGTTACAGTTAACAGTTGTTCCCGCTTGGTTAAATGATAACATATCTGATGTGCAGCTGCACCATTTCCATAGCTCTGTTATACGTGACCCTCAGTCTCACCTCATATATCTACTTGACATTTCCAATTCATAGGCTATAACTTTCTCTCTCTGCTCCCTGTAACTCCCAGAACTCCCAAAGTAAACGTCTGTTAAAGATTACAGTATTATCTGTAATATAAACTGGCAACTCATTAGAAATAGCGGTACTTAAATTTACAGACATTATTCAAACCAACATTAGGAAATTCCTAATTGATTGCTTGCTTGACAGATCTGAAGTTTGTGCTTAAATTATTAATGACTTTGGCTCAATCACTTATCGTCAAAATTGCATAATCTACTATTTTGGAAGAATTTAAAATATTCTGAGTGCCTCTTAAACTCTACTTTATACTTGAAAAGGTCAGAAATGTTTGCAATTCTTTTAGTCCAACTTGGATACAGTAATGGAAAGTCATGGTAGTTTCTTCATAAAGTGGTTGGAGATGTTTGGGAAAGAGAAGGAACTGGGGCAGAAGAAATAAGGCGTGAGTAAATGGACAGAGGATGTGGGAATTCAAGTGGGACAATTCAAAGATCTGGGGTGATGCGTCATGTTCAAACACTGCTCAAAAAGCCACAATAAATAGACTTGTTCCATGTCTGCGCACACCCTAGAACTATATAACATCTGGGAATATGAGTTAGTCACTTCAGGGTATTGTTATTCTACTTCCTGTGTGTCCAAGTGGTTTGTGGTCTTTAGTGTAAATATCCCAAACTACTTGAGGCAATGTAAAAAGCTGATGGTGCTGATTATGAGTGAAAATTACTCAGTAGTACTCAGAAAGATCAAAATACGGAGGTAAAGGTATAGAAAATTTGTTGTTTTCATTTGACCAATTTTTTAAAGTGCTCATATTTTCTGTTTTCTGATCCATGTTATAATGTTGTTTCATCATCAAAAACATAGCTGGGGTTGGGTTTTGTTTCATTCACTCATGTTTAAAGCATTTTGACTGAGTTTTTCTTTCAGACAGATAACACTCTCTGCTCTACTTTGTTTTTAAACTCCATACACTTTCACTAGAATCATTTGGATGATTTAAGCCTTGGAATGATCTGTCTGTACTAAAAAAAAAAAAAGGTAAAAGGTAGCTGTAAACTACTGGTAACTGGGTAACTGAAAACTACCTCTTCATGACATCACAAGGTGGAGCAGTGCATTTTGAGCTTTGGAGATATAGACAGACTAATAATAAAGGTTTACTGAAATACTTTTCACTTTCACGTTTCCTCTCTGGCTTTTAATACCGAGTGAGTTGTGTAGTCCCCCTGTGTCTTTTATTTATTTATTTATTTCATTTTATTTTATTTTATTTTTTTAGTACTGCTTTTATGTATTGATTTTATTATTATTATTTTATTTCTTGATTCTATTAGTTTCCTCATGGTTGGAACATAATTCTGCTGATTTTTTTTTTCTTAATTAAAATTTTTACATTGCTATGTAAAGCACTTTTTATAAAATGTGCTATACAGTTAAAGTTGAATTGGACTGACTGGATTGGATATAAGTGTGAATGAAACAAGCTCCAGCTATGATTTTGATGAGATAGCAACACTCTAACATGGCTTAAATCACACCAGAGTCACTTTGTGTAATATAGGACCTTTCATATTGTGCACATTTTAGGTTGATGGCAGAAACCAAAGTGCCAGAAGGAAACCAATTAGACACAGGAAGAACATGCAAACTCTGCACAGAAAAGCCCCATACACCCTTCCTGTGAGTTGATCTAGTTTATCAGACCATATTTTACCCAGTGTGTTTGATAAATACGTTTCACTCCATAGTTTTGTCTGCACATTTGATCTCTTTTTATACAGTCCCGCCCCACTGTCTCCTGCTAACTTTATTTTTAACCACTGACTTCAAGTATCTGCAAGCCACGATTTGTTTACACTGTCACTACTGCACAATAGCCCCACTGCATTCATTTAAATGTGGTTTCCGAGCACACTTCTGCCCGCAGATGTGGTCAACAATACAGAAGGATGCTGGGAGACATTACATATGGGACTCCTGTGAGTTTTAGTGAGTAGTAAACATGGATCTGTTTTAAATCAGAGCGTGTGCTGTTTATTGTTAGCAGCTTATTATGGTATGTGTTTCATCCATGCATTGAGCTCTGGCATGTTGTATCTAGCAGGCTCGCTATGGCGTTAAGTTTAAGACACGAAGTTAGGTTAAGATTACATAAGACTAATACTTTTATAGATCTAGCATGACATTATATAATTATATTCCAAAATTACCACTAGCATAAAATACCACAAAACCTAAATATTGTTACTAAGAATGCATTAATTTGATACTGGTGTTGTATGTCAGCGCTGATAGTGAAAAATTTATTTGATCAGATCTCAGGTTCCAAATATCGGTTCAGCAGATCCTGGTTGGACGGTGATGTAATGAGACTAGTTACTGGTTGAAGTCAGCCCAGAAAGTCTCACAATGATTGAACTTTTATTTATACAAAGCTGTTCTGTAGTTATTTGAGAGATAAATAACAGTTACATAACACATTTGGATCAGCTTTGCTTATTTTAATTTTGTTTAAAGGAAATAAATACTCAGTCTTTCAGTCTCTGTACTGGTATTAGTTGATATCAGGTATCAAAAGATACTTCAAGCTTGTAGTGGACCAAACAAAAAGGCAAAGACAAGGTATAAAAATGAGTTAGGATTCATTTGCTTGTCAGTAGGCGGGTACTTTTTTATTTAACCACTCGCTGTGCCAAATCCTGTAGGAAGAAGGGCAATAATGTCTTTCCCCTCGATATAATTAACCAAACACTCTCTTTGTTATAATATAATTATCAATTATAATATATCTATTGTTTTAAATCCTCAATCTCAGGAATCGCTGCCAACACAGAATGTATGGCTTCGTCTACATCCATCTCAACCCCTTTGTTTACTGTTGTGCTGTACCACAAATGGGACCCAGTCAGGCGCTTGAGTTTGACGTCATGGCTTCACAGCTCTTTGCTGATTGACCAGTGCGTGGTCTACAACTTCTGGGGTTCTTGCAAACCGTCTAGTGTATTCTGATTCGTGACCTACTCACTGGAGAGAAATGAAATTGAGTGGCGTTACTAGGTGGTGCCAGCCTGGCTAATTCCATCTGGCCACTGAAACAAAAAAAAGAAAGTGAAAGTAAATAATTCAGACTGATATTAACTAAAATGTGCGCGCGCAAATTAGAATATAAGTCTAAATAAAGGAATTATAACTATATGTACTGTAATTAATTTAATTTAAATGAAACAAAATGAAATGAAATAATACTAAGACTGTGGAGTGGTAGCAGAGGTATTCACCACAAAGCTGTAGTATCGAAATTGGTATAGGAACTGAAAAAGCTGGATCGGTGCATAGTTGTTGCTGTACTTATTTGTACAGTGAGGAAAGTCTATTATGCAAAGAAGTGTAACCATTAACTCAGAGTTCAAACAAATTGAACACAGGTAAAACTACATTACAAATGTTCTTGTATACACTTTTAAGCAACAAAAGAATGATGCATAAGAGCAAATAATAAATGACATTAACCTTTGCTGTTTATTTTTCCATTGCAGTACATCCAGAGACCACTGCTATAATAATATTTCATGACATGTTGAGTTGTTACAAAAAGTCTGGTCAAAGCTAAATAGGTCTTTCTTCTTTTTTGTCTTTTTTTTTTTTTCACATTTCAGCCACAGCGCATGACGCCAGCTGTTGAAACTAGTGCAAACTCATCTTACCTCTTACCTCTGTGTCATCCTTATGTCAACTAGTGTCAGCACATTGTCCCGGATCTCAATCAGTAGGTCCCCCTTTACAGAACCTGACCTGTTCTCTCTCTGTCTCACATACCACTGTCATACTAGTATACTATGTTAGGACAAGAGCAAGTGCTGGAAGAGTGAAAAATACTTCCAGAGAGGAGGAGGTTTGACATTTTCCCTTTGGGCTAAGCAACAAACTGGGAGGAGGAACTGTACGAACGAAGATGTCATCCAAGTTGTGGAAAAAGTGATGGTGTCCACTGCATTTGGGGTGGGACAGTAGTCAGGAATTTTAGGGAAACTTTCAGAATTGGACAAAGCCTCAAAATCGCTTTCGAGTTATTGAAAGACATTTTTGGCAAGTTAACAAAGATGTAATTATGCACTAGATTTTGGGTATGGAATGCAAGTGAAAAAAATGGTATGAGGAAACCACAAGTTGTTTCTACTTTCCAACTTCTACAAAGGTTGGTTTATGGTGAACCACGGTATTTGGGCAAATTCATGCAGGAAAAGTGAAAATGCAATCCCACAGTGCTTTTAAAATCCCTTTGGTCCAGAAGTGCCAGCTTAACTGTTATATATGTGGACAGTAAAAGTTGAGTAGAACTTTTGGAAGAAGAAGAAAAAAATCAATCATTCCCCTGATGAAGACACGTTAAAGGGTCTATATTATTCTCATCATAAACATATTTGGAGTTGTGTTTTTTTTCACACGTTTAACACACAAAGCCTGCATTTTTAGGCTGA